TTGGGGGGTTCAGAAAGAACCGCCTCTTTTGGTGGGAAAAGGTCCACTCTGGGTAAAATTTGATCTAGGTTCATGAAGTTTTTATGGAAAAAGGTCCACTTTTTCAGAAAAAGAACCCCCACTTTTGAAATTGTTGGCTACGGGCCTGAGATATTATTGGTAAATTTTCAATGACAGTCTGTTTATCTAAAGACATATCTGTAAACATGTTGTGAAAAGTCAATCTCTCGCCCTGGTATACGGTACCTCCCTCACCCGTTTCTTGTTTTTATGACTGATGCCGTTGAAATGGGGGAGGAGGGTATGTCAGATATGTTCCACTATCCCACCTGCTTCGTCGCCTGTAAAGATTGGACCCACTCTCAGCCTAATATGCCGTTTTTATCTGATGCAATATTTCCTAAATGATCCTTTTAATTTTTTTTATTTTGATCGAAAGAGACTTCACGTGCAACAAGGAAATAATTTTCTGAACTTAACATTGTTTGTCATGATATTAACCCATTATCTTGAAAATGAGTCGTCTGCACTATTACATGTAAGTGCATGGTTACAAAATCGAACTACGTACATAGGACCACACTGCCGAAGATGATATCTCTGCATCATTTAAGGCGCATTTCCAATACAGCTGTTACGTCTCGACTTCACACCGTAGTCTTTTACCTTACCCGTTTCCAATTGTGTGATAACATGTTTAATTCAGACCGCCACCAATTTAACTTTTTTTCCTTTGCAGTGATCGTGATCAGGACAATAGATAGAGTTGATGTCCCCTTGTTTATAAACCGTTGCTCCTGCGGTCTGCGATGATGGCACCACATTAAGTTAAGTCGCTAGAGATAATGTGGAAATACACCTTGGGAGAAAAAGGATTCGCGTGCCCAAAGGGGTTTCTTTGTTTGTTTACTGATAGTGGTGGTCTGAGTTGTTTGTCACCATTATCCAAAAACCAGATGAGTAAATAAAGCTGCTAGTACTTGATACAATCATGGAAGTATATCATGGATTTACTTCACCTGATACAATGTAGGCACGTTTACTCTAGACTAAGGTGGACCGCTTTAAAATCGACCCCAATAGTGTTGATTGCGATCAAACCAGAGAATTTGTTCCAAGCATGGTTAATTTGGTTTGTCATCGACCAGTAGTAGCTGTGATGTTGCTTCCCGTAGCTGTATTCAGTGCACTTCAAGCATGCTAATCTGACTAGACTGCAATCAACCCAGTGAGTGCACAGTTTGCTGCCTAGTTATTACACTCTCTTTGCAGTTGGTTTGCGGCTGCTTTGGGTCTGAATCTCCAATCTGAGCAAAATTGTACAATTGATTATCAAACTCGGTTTAGCTGCAGAAGTTTCATGATCTTATTTAGAATTCAGAAGTAATCTAGATGACCATTGTGTGATGGCACACCAAGTTCGTTAAAGTGTCTCATGTCGATGGTCATCAAATTGTGGTTAAAGGCTTATGACCGATGATCTATTTATTAAATGGACATGTAGCACTCATTAACGTGATGTGTCACCGCAGGCGTTACAGTAGGATGCCCCCCTGTTTTAATATAAATAGAGGCCAGTCAAACATACCTACATAGGATTTTAAACAACGATATTCTCTTATTCTTAAATTAACTGATCGACTCTGAACGCAGCA